GGGCCCCTACCATGGATATTTATTTCCTGCTTTTAAGGGGGACAGAGAAGCATCAGAGAGCTCTTCGCTCTTGCTGCTGCTTAGGTGATTTTATTTCAAAATAATCAACATGCCATTCTGGGATGTCTTGAGGCAGCCTGCCCTGGGTTCCGACACAGTGGACACTATATTGACTGAAAAAGCTTTATACACACATGCTTGCACACACACACACACACACACAATACATGGAAATGATTGCATATGAGAAGAATATAAAAGTGTACATCACTACACCAGGCCATTGGTTTGGGGAGATACGTTCGTTTTTGTTTTATGCATTCCTTTACTGTGAATGTTTTGCAATAGCAGGTAACTACTTTTGCAAACATGTTCAATGTTTGAGTTTTTACATTGGACATATATTACTTCTATAAGCTAAAATGAAGGTGAAAAATTTTTAATTACATAATTATCAGCCATCCAACTACTGTTTTGTAATCAACATATTATCAAGCCTTACTCATCTTGCATAATTTATTACATCAAAGGCCTCTCTTCTTGGTCTCTGTATGAATAATTGGTTCCCTTCTAATTGACTCTCTCTGCCAGGTGATCTTCTAGGTAGGTTCCACAGCACAAAGGGCTATTGACTAATTTCATGGGGGAGTTGGTAGCGAGAAAGATACAGGAGTAGGTAGGACCTCTTAGAAAACCACCATTTAACTCCATTTCCTGGATCATCTCCAACACATAAAACTGTTCCTTTGGAAATGTTCCTTTTTCTATTAATGGTTTTCATACAAGGGCAATACCCCCCAATCCCCAATGCCAAGGGGGCATTTGGCAATATCTAGAGAAATTTGGGGTTGTCACCCCTGGAGATAGGGCTATTACTGGCATCTGTTGGGTAGAGGCCAAGGATGCTGCTAAGTATCCTACAAGGGAAATTATAACTGCTTGATGCATGTAAACCAATGATGCAACTCGCTGTAGCCTCCAGAAGACCATCCTGAAATACTAAAAGATGTTTGAACTTGGAAGTCGGGTGACTTGAGTGCCACCAGTTATTAGTGATGTCGTGTAGAACAACCTTCCGGACTCTTCCTTTTCCATAAAAACTCATCTTATAGTGTAGTAGTCGGAATCAGTTCCAGTCACGGATGTGAGCTGTGCAAACAAAGCAGTGAACAAATGGATGCTGCCCTGTGTTCAGGCAAGAAAAGCATTTCTGACAGTTTTGGGTCACGTATTCCCTTTGAATGGCCTTTTTGTAGAACCTACTAGGTGATAACATCATAGTATAGGTAAAAATTTATTATTTTCTTTCATGCACATGCATTTAGATGCATAGCTGCGAAAAGCGTCTTAAATAGCTTTGTTAAAGTGCAGAACAAACACTTAAAGATGTATTACTGACACTGCTTGTGTAATATCTAACTTACTGTAGTAAAGCCCTTTCTACCCTAGGAATCACTTTTTTCCTGAAAAAAGAAAATCATTTATCAAGACCCTTCTTCAGAAGCACGTGAGGCTGTAAGCAATGTATTTCCTGGCTTCTGACACAATCTAAACATCTGGCAAAGGCAGTGTAATGAAACTGTGACTTGGCTGTGTTCCTCCACATTGGTTTGCAAAGCCACGGCGAGACTGCAGCCCATCAGGCACCACTGTCATCTCATAGAGTGGGGGGAGGATCTTTTGCAGGCCCAGATGTAGGTGAGGGTAAAGGGAGGGGGGGGATTGGGGAATACCGCAGACTTTCCCGGGCCTCCCTCACATAAGGGCCAGGGAGAGGTAGAGGGCAGCTTTTGTATTCTTTAGAAATGATTATAATGGAATAAATGTCTTCTTCCCGAATGCCTCCCTTCTCTTCTTAAAATCTGTAACCACTGTATTAGTTTCCTATTGCTGCTGTAACAAGTTACCACAAACTTAGTGGCTTAAAACAATACAAATTTATCATCTCACAATATTGGAGGTCAGGAGCACTAAGACTGAGGTGTCGGCAGAGCTGTGCTCCTTCTGAAGGCTCTAGGGGACAATTAGTTCCTGTGCTTTCCAGCTTGTAGAGGCTGCCCACATTCCTCGGCCTGTGGCCCTCCATCTCCAAAGCCAGCAACCAAGCATATTCAAATCAAGCTCTCTCTGTGTGTGACCCCTACTTCTGTCATCAAGGCCTCTTCTCTGCCTCTGACCCTCTTTCTCTAGTGTGTCACTTGAGTTTTCTTACGGCCTATGAAAATTGGTAGCAATGTCTTAAGTGTCCCTGTGACCCCACCTACAAAAGAAAGGACCTTCCATCTCCACAGGCCAGAGAGACAAGGTGGCCTGTTCAGGTCACAGGCAGCCGTAGGGACGGAATCTAGATTTGCACCCGAGTGAAGAGCACTTCCAAAGAGTCGGTCTTCCAACAGCCACCATGCAGGTGCTTTGCTGTGTTGCTTCACGCAGCTTATCTCGAGGGGCAGCAGAAAGCGAACCTTGTTAAGCAACCTCTACAAAGTATCACACACAGTTTGCTTTCGTATCTTTGGCCAAAACTGTATTAGCTACGCCTGTTCCACAAGAGGAGATGGAAAATGTAGTCTTTTTATCAGACTGACCTGAGAAAAGTTAGGGCTCTCTAGCTGAGGAGAGGAGATGCTGGTGGAGGTAAGGCTGCCACACACGGACAAGGTTTGTAGGGAGGCTTGTTATTTCACTTTTGTCACTTTTTCTAGCGAGACTGCTTATCAGAAAGAGTTTGGCCAGAGCTGTGGATTTAGAGTGGGCAATTCCAGAACACACGCAAAAGCAGTGCTGAAGGCCTGAAACCGAGGTCTAGGCTCATGGAGCAGGAGCAGTGGCGCTCAGGGCCTGGGGGCTGACGGGGAAGGAAGGGCTGGGGCGGGGAGGCTGGGATCAGGGGACCTCAGGCCGGCAGGAGTGAGGCGTCACCAGTGCTCAGTCTGAGCGTGGCGTCCTCAGCTGGCCTGGACAATAGGTTGTTATGGCTGATGGAGAGGAGCTATGGAAGCAAGGTCTTTGGAAAGGGGGTCAGGGGATCACCCTGTCAGTGGGAAGGGCCACTGAGCTGGGGACTAAAAGCCACGATTCTCATCAACAGTAAACAGAATGAGGACTGGTGTCAGCACACGATTTACCTCCAGCTGAATAGAGGTTGTTTAGCTCTCAGGGAGGCTGCGATGTGACAATCAACAGACTTTTAAATTTAATAATGATTTTTCTTTTTATTTTTTATCCCTTTACCTCTCCACTTTGGTAACCATCAGCTTGCTCTCTGAGTCTGTTTTGTTTTAGATTCCACATTTAAGTGTAATCATACAGTATTTGTCCTCTGGCTTATTTTACTACCCTCTGGGTCCATCCATGTGACAAATGGCAGGATTTCACTCTTTTTTATTGCTGAATACTATTCCCTTGTGTATATATACGGCATCATCTTTACATTCATCTACTGCTAGACATCTAGGATATTTCCAGGTGTCGTCTATTATTACTAGTAATGTTGCAATGAACATAGGGATGTATCTAGTGTTTTTGTTTTCTTCGGATAAATACCCAGAAGTGGAATTGCTGGATCATATGGCAGTTCTATTTTTAATTTTTTGAGGAATCTCCATACTGTGTTCTGCAGTGGCTGCACTAATTTACAATAGTGTACAAGGGTTCCCTTTTCTCTCTATCCTTGCCAGCCCTTGTTGATTTATTGATAGCCATTCTGTCGGGTGTGTGATGTCTCGTTGTGATTTTGATTTGCATTTCCCTGATGATTAGTGATGTTGAGCATCTTTTCATATGTCTGTTGGCCGTCTGTCCTCTTGGGACAAACGTCTATTCAGGTTCTCTGCCTAGGATGTTATGGGTTTTTATTTGATGGTCCTTTCTTACATTAGTAAACTGGAAGCAAGGTCACCTGCACACACTGGGAGAAAACTCAGCGAGCTATTACCTGCCCCTGGAGGTAGCTAACGTCCCTGGGTCAGTGCTCGGCAGGTTTGGCGAAAAGGGGCAGCTGACGCCATTCATGCTGCCAGAAGCCATTTGAGTGAAAGAAGAGATCAGAAATCTGATTATCTGGATTTTTACTTGAAAAAAGACTTAGTATTCGTTTTTCTAAAATGCTCGAAATTAATTATAATGCTAACTCAGTATGTTTATATATTAGGTTGTTGAGAAAAATGATTGTAAAGGATAAGCATAAAACATAAATACAATTGCTGCTAGAATAAAACACTTTTTCTCAGGAATTTTTCTTCAGACAATTTCAATTACAGAATTCTTGGCGAGTATTTAGGAGTTATAAATTTAACACCAAAGGCTTATATTCCATTTGTGTGTGAGAGTGTGTAGGGCCATATTTTCTAATCTAGGCACAAAATATAACTAACATGGGTTAGGGTTAGAATCGTCCATTTCCGAAGCAGTTTAAATCGATAGTGTTACTGGAAGTTTTAATATTCAGATCAAAACCAATACATGTAGGGGCAAAACTCTAAGAAATTTATGAATTACTGACTTAACATATCCTTAAATATTATAGTTTGCCTTTAACATAGTTATAATACTATACTATAAATACTAATATCCTTTATATGAACCAGAAAGAATTTACATTAAAACATATTAATACTTGATTATTTTATTACCATATATTATTATATACAATTTTATTTGATAACAGTAAGGATATTATAAATCATATTTTAAAAATGTATGCATGGCATATGTAAAGCAGTAACATTTAGGAGCAAAGAGAAAAGCCATGAAAACATTTACCTACAAGTTAGTAATACTGAAAAACACTAGGTTTGTGCATAGTAATGACTGAAGGCGTCCTACTCCATCAGAAAACTGGTGCATTCTCAGGTACTGTCAGAACCACTTGGTGTAGGAAAAGTTCAATCAGACGCATCCAGTTCCGCAGACGTGCACACCACCTAAAATCTCTCAACACGGCAGTACCCAGAGCCTTCTCTCCTTGTTTTGGCACACTCAGCAATGCAGACAAAGGCGTGTTTGGTTTGACGTATTTTATTATTCTCAGATAAGCTTTAGTTATTTTATAGAGATAAGAATATACAATAGTGCTTTAAAAATTTTTAATTTTATAAGTGTATAGTCATATTCACAATTTAATAAGCCTATTTTCCACTAAACAATTCACCCTGTAACATAAGGGGAGACGAACAAAAATGGCTTAATGATTTATATGTAAAACTGGATTATTAATCTAGACCACTGGTCTAAATCTTTGGTGACACCTCAGGCTGGAAACAAATTATGAAATGTTTTAGGCAAATGTTGTTTTCAACACTTACACTGATTCTACAGATTCAAAATTTTGACTAGAAAATGCATACAACTGACATACATACTGTCTGAAGCCACTTTATGTACATTAACTTACAAAAACAAAAAAATGTATTTTAATACTACATCTCAGCTTGGGATTCCATCATGTTTTTATACAATACATGCAAAAGACATCACGTTGAATAAAAGAATGGCAGGTGGTGGCACTTCTTTTAAATCACCTGAGGACAGTAGTTAGTAGGGAGATTAATTTGCCTTACTGATAATAAAGGTCATCCTATCATAGAAACAACCTAATGTTTGAAATTAATAAAACTGCACAGTTTTCTTTTTCGTAATACCAATTTAAAGCAGTTGCATTCACAATTTAAGACTGATAAAATATGTAAAACCCAAATTACTTATGTGCATATAAAATATGGAATATTTTTAAATGAAAAATTCAAAATATTTTACAAATAATTTTGTTCATTATAAAGCATACAATGCACCATTCATTTCATTCATAACAATACTTTGCACCAAACATTGCTATAGTCAATCTTAACACTCCTCAAATATGAGAAAAACAAAGTTTTCCACTGTACTAAGTGAAATTTGTAAAGTCAACATACTATTATCTTAATATATTACAGATCTAAAACACTTTGTAAAAAATTTATACACAGTGAAATGGGTGCTTTGCCTTAATTTACAGAACGACTGAGAAACAAAGCTCCTGCTTGTCATCGCAGGTAGATAAACGTGGTTGCCTTTACTTCAGCACTTTTTTCACACTGCACCATTCCCCTCGACTACCAGGGTGCAGATTTAGTAGAGGTAAACGGTGGTATATCGCTTTCTTCTGAAAACACTGTGGACATTTTAGTGCTGCTGTTTATGCATATTTATATAGTAATTAAGAAGTAATTTGAAAAGACATTTTACTTTCAAAATTTTTCAACATAAGGCACATGGCAACATTTAAAGTCTAGAAGCAACCAGATTATATAATAAATCTCTTTTCAAATCATTATTTGTTCTTTACCTGAAGAAAGTAGGTGAGTAGTGCAGTTAAAACATGCCTGGATTAATAAAGAGGATTGAGTCTAAGAAATGCAAATAATATTTGTGCATAGAGTGTTATTAATCTGAAAAAGAAAAAGCGTATTTTATATAAAATATACGTCCTACAGTGTTATAGGTAGAAAAAACTGGGAGGCACTGACATTAACTTTGAGATTATCTTTCTACAAAAGCACCGAACCATTTATTTTAACATCTGAGATACATGCAGAACCTAAAAACATTAGGAACAGTTTAGTTGGCAACTTTGTACTTCGAGAACGGAGGATTCAGAAGTTGAAAACTCAAAGCATTTCTTTATTCCAAGAGAAATAACTCCGAGAGTCTTAAATTTTGTAGTCTGTGGCGCTCAGGATGTGAAATGTAGATAGTATCTCACCAGTCTGTGACAGCACACTTTTCATTTGAATGACTATAGTATATGTAATCTTGATATGTTTTTAACTTTTCTTTAAAAATCATTAAAATGTGGTTTGGTATTAACAACATATATCAATGCCTCCGTGTGAACTTGCTGATGTCCAGCAATGACAGTTTCAGTAACTGTAATCTTTCACCAACAAAATCTAAACCAAAGCCAAGGTAAAAATTGGGCTTGGAATTACAGAAATCGACTGGATGTCAAATCAGGGAAAGGTCTGGCTTCTGATGGGTGATGAAGGGACTGAAGATGTGTGGTAGTCAGAGTATTTTTTATAGTATTTAACTCAGCTGGATAGATTTCATTTAAAACTCCATTCTGAAACTGAAAACAAAAATAGCAACACAATTTATTATTAAGAATGGATCTTTAAAGTATTTTTAAAATCTTCACTCTACATGGTGTTAAACTTCAAATAACTTGGTTGCTGCTAAATTTTAAATCACTCGATGAAAACATACTGAGCACATACATTAGCACATTTATAACCTTTTGGTTTCTCCAATAGCTGACACAGATGAGTAACATGACTGTTTCACGTGAGATTCGGCATTCCACGAACCAGGAGGGCATCTGATCAATGGGTTGCCTTAGAAGGGAAGCAGTCATAAATCACACTTACACAGTGTGGGGCAAAAGGAGGTTTACAGTTGTGAGTCCACGATACACGAGTTTATTCTTGCATTATTTTCCATACAAATAATTGTAAACCTACATTTTCCCCCTACCCTGTATATTTGCTTTTCAAATTCTGTGAACCAGGGAACTTATTACATTTGAGATTACTCCACTAAAACTGCAGATGACCTAATAAGACTTTACTAAAAGGGGCTAGTTCTGATTTGCTAGAGGTTTCTAATATTCCTAAAATATTATACCATGGGTATGAATTCCTAAACTAATTTCTTGTACCATACTTTTAATTAGTAAATACCACTATAATTACTGTCCTAATTACAGAATCAAGTTATTCTTTCTTGCCGTCTTAAAATGAAATTATCTGGTTTCCATAACTGCTACTGGAGAAATGGGAAGGACACAGAGATAGTTCTGTAGGGCTTTATAGATGACAGAGCCTTTAGAGTATATAGTTAATGAGAGCTGCAGACACTTTCAAACATTAAATTCATATCCTTAATTCCTTCAAATAAAATCTACCTTTCTAAAGCCTATGTAACATTAGGCTTCACTTATCAAAATGATGATTATTTCAAAGGTCCTCCAAAACACATATTAAAAACCACATAATTAGACCTTCAGTAAATGGCACCTTTGTCGAGTCTTCAAAAGGAAGGTAGTATTATTTGCCTAGAGAATGTTGCGTTTTATATAAATCACTTTCATCAGTCATAACGTGGGCCAGCAATTCTCTTTAAACATTGTCCAGAGCAGTGCTGTTCAACAGAAGTGAGCCACATATGTAATTTTAATTTTTCCAGTAGCCACATTGAAAAGTAAAATGTTAATATATTTTACTTGCCCGGGCAGGCGTGGCTCAGCAGTTGAGCATCGACCTAGGATCCAGGAGATTGTGGTTCGATTCCCCATCAGGGCACATGCCCGGGTTGTGGGCTCCATCCCCAGCAGGGGGTGTGCAGGAGGCAGCCGATCAATGACTCTCATCATTGATGTTTCAACTCTCTCTCTCCCTCTCTCTGAAATCAAAGATATATTTAAAAAATATATATATGTAAATATATATTTTTTTACTTAACCGAATATAGCTGTAATTTATTTCAACATGAAAATAATAAAAGATTCTTTTTTCAAATTAAATCTCCAAAATTGGCATGTATTTTACACTTACAGCTCACCTGGGACTAGCCACATATAGAGTAGTTCCCCTGCAGAGAGGGGAGAGGAAGGTCTACCCAATTCTTATTATTCACAAAGAACTAACACACAATAGTGAAGGGATCACTATCAAGGACTCAGGAGCCCTGTTCAAAATGTAAAATTACATAAATAAGTTCTCTAACAATTTACTCAAGAGTATATAAACCTACCCATTGCTTAACTTCATGGCAATGTTGTGAAACAGACTGTAACTGAATATTAAATTTTAATACAATTAAAGGATGTCAGGAATGAAAAGAAGAACCTTCACTGCCCTTTTCTGCCATTTCTCATATACAATCAGACTAAATCAAATGTATGAAAGAAAAAACCATCAGGGACAAAGATCCAGTAACACTGTGAAATGACTATACTCTAATACACAGTCCATAGAGAACAACTTAATTTTAGTCAAAACTAAACTTTTAAATACATTTTAAAATGAACGATTTTCTTAATGGAAAATCGTAAAAGCAAACATGCTCAATTCCTGGGTGGCCAAAGAGAGCACATATAATCAGGTTAACTTTTTTTTAAGTGATTGTTTTTCGATTTAAAGTGTGCTTGCTGCTGGGAGGGTCCTGATGACACATTTAAGCAATAAAAATACAGTATCAACCTCAAGTCCCATGACAGAAAGACAGCCAAGTTACCCCATTTTTAAGAACGTCAGAAAAAACATTTCACCTTAAGGCGTAAAAGGTGGCCGATAAGACAGAGAGGTTGCTAGAGAGGAAGAAGGTGCCTGGGCCTAAATTCCAGGCATCATCAGGGCAAAAGCATGCCCTGAAACACACCTACATTGCTTTTCACTTAACTTAAGCTATATATTAAAACGCTGAGAAATTATTTTTAAAAATTCAAATATATTTTTGAAGTTTGAATTTTTAAGATGTAATTTTAAAGCAGCAAGCTAAATCAAAATCTCTATTTTAAACAATATACTTTGAACTAATGTCACCTGGTAACTTAAGGATACATTCACGTCACTTTAGCCCTTGATTTCTTTTTCCTTTACAATTCAGGTCAATATGATAACCTGTGTCTGTAACATCCCGGAAAAGTACTGGCTTATAAAAAAAAGTAGTCCCAGACATAATTAGAAATGCTCTCTGACATAAACAATTTAGATAAGATTTCAACTCATGTATTTATAATGTAAGAAGAATCACTGAAAGGGTTTAGTTTGATAACATCCTTACCTTGGTCAAAAATGCCTGTGGGCCTGGCTGGGTTAGATTGTACTGCATCTGAGCCACACTGCTTTGCTGAGGCTCCAGCTGACATGGGTACATGGACACAGCCCCGGCATAACATGTCTGCGAAGTTACCACAGGTGACTGTGGATTTAATTCATGCTTTTGGTTTTCAGGAACTTGCAAGCATGTGACGAAATCTTCTAAATTAGCAGTAGTAGTAGGGTATGGGGATGGTTCAAAATTCCCCATGGGAAAGTCTAGCTGTGTCCCCTTGGGCTGTTGTGGTAACACAGACTGATTACAGGCAATAAAGTTCTGTGTATAAGGCACAGTATCCGCCTCAGATTTGTAGGGAAACCCTCGATTAGTCCCAGGTAAGTCTGAAAAGACATTATACTGTTGTATACTATCTTGCTGAGGACAACCAAAAGGCACGGACTGGTTGGAGCTCCAGTTTGCAAACATGCCATTGACTTGCATGTGCTTCATTTTGTGGCACAGTTGCTGCTGCTGCTGCTGCTGCTCTAACTGCAGGTGCTCCTGGACCATACAGCTTGAGTTTATCGCTGTGGGTGGCTGCTGCTGGTAACCCTGACAAACGAAGGTAGACTTATTTAAAGAATCTTGGACGAACGTCAGGATTTCATCTGTTATGTCAACGTCTCTGAAGTCATCCTCACCAGAAAAGTCAGTTCTGAAAAATTCCTCATTCTGCTGCATGTGTTTAATGTCTTCAAAATCGATGCCGAGGTGTTTCATAATGCTGTACAAGTCACAATATTTGTTGTCTGGGAAGAGGCCTCCATGACCTTCAGAGAGTGTCAGGTTCATTTCCTGAGACTGACCCATCTGTTCATGTTTCAGGATATCATTCCCCATTGATGCAATACTGTCTTGCCAATCACTGCATTTGTTCATGGATTCATTAAAAAAGTTTCTGTCGAAAGATGCACTATTTGAAGCAGGGCAGAGATAAACAGACTCATCTTGTTGCATGATGGCACTCAAGAGAGAACTGGGATGGGGAGAGTCCTTATTCAGAGTTGACTGGGTAGCAGAATCTTTTCCACCAGCCCCATTTTTAGTCCTCACTGGTAAGGGATCCATCATGGGAGGAGAGGGGTTGGTTATCTCGTACAGCAGAGCTTCTCCAGTGGCAAACATGAAAGGCAGCTTCACATCGCGTTTCTTCAGATGCTCTGTTCCTTCTTCATCTCTAAAAGCAGCAAGCAAAATAGATTGTCATTGACAGCAGGGAACAAAAACTTTATTTTGACATACATTTTCTGATGACTAGTGCTATGAAATTGTTTTTAAAAAAATATTTAAATGATTTAGAATTTGTCCAAAAACAGTATAGTCATTAATTCCACACTCAGGTATACCCCTACCTGATATCCTACCAAAAAAATCCCATGTGGAATAAAGATCCAAATATAAAAACAAACTACGATATTGGGACTCCTGAGTGGGAGAGGTATCTAAATAAAATGCAAAGCCCAGAAGCTATAAAAGGAAAAGATTAGCATAATTTACAATATGAAAATTATGTATGTGTACATATACACAAACATCATTTAAAACAGCACTGCAAAAACTTCAAATATCTAGGAATAGAATCATCAATAAAAGAGGTCCCAGACTCACCTAAGAAAAATACAACCCATTATTGAGATAAAGACATAGGGGTACATGGTTATGTAGTATTTACCTAAGTATATGTACACACATTCACCATGTTCATGGGTAGGAATATTAAGTATTATAAAGATGTTAATTCTCCCAAGACGAGCTATAGTTTCAGTGTAATCCCATGTATAGATTTGGGATTACACTGTAATCCCTTTAGATATTCTAGTGGGAACTGATAACTGATTTCTAAAATGTATATGAAAGCATAAAGGGGTCAGGAAGAGCCAACGTGATCTTGAAGGAAAACAAAAAAATCTCAAACGAAGTGAAGGGCATATACTCAGATATCAAGACTTAATAAAACAATGTGTTCTTAGTGCAAAAATAGACAACTAGACCAATGAACATAACAGAGTCCAGAAAGAGAACCATCATCTGATCAAAACACAGTGCAGTGGAGAAAAGATGGCTTTTTCAATATATGTTACTGGTCAACTGGACATACATATCCAACTTTTTTTTAAATTGTTAAAATAGTAGATAAGCTTTCATTTTAATCTAAAAATGCACCCTTATCCATTAATACACTCACCATGGATGATCTGGGATGTTTATGATTCCCCACCCGCCCCTGCAAAAATTACAACCTAAAATATAAACATAAAACTTTATGGCACTATAAATTATGGCTAGAGGCACTGCTTCATAAATACTGTAGGGTTTTAATAGATATAAGGAGAAAAAAATGATCTCGATTCTTACTTCGAAGCCACATACAAAAAATCAATTCTCTAGAAAAAACTTACAATGCACGTATTTCACAAAATACTCATTTCCAGAATATGTAACTTAAAAATCACTGCTTGCTTAGAAAACATATGCTAAGCAAAGTACTGTTGTCTTTTTATTTTACAGATGGCACTAGCTTTTCATATTTCCTGCACATACCCAGGATAAAACCCTAACGTTTCCTTTCACTGTTCTCCTCCCAAAGCTCTAAATATTTAGCTGTTTAATAAAGTCTGTTAATTCTATCTTCTCAATGCCCTTCACCTATGCCTTCTTATTTCTATACGTATTATTTAAGTTTTCAGGAGCATTTATAAACCAAAGTGTTATTAAAATAAAAAACAATTAACAGCAAGCATTCTGTCTTTGTACTTACGTCAGAGGTCTCTGAGTTGCAATGATATAATCTGGTCTTCCATTTTTATAAACCAAGCGGGCGTTAGACTGGACCCAGGTCCACCGATTGTCTTTGGTAAGAAGCCTGAACACTATCATGCCACTCTCTCCGGTCTTAATCACTAAAATAAAATAAAAAATTATCAAACCCCAAATCAACATATTAAAGAAAATCTCTGAAACAAGCCCCCCTAACATATTTCCAGGCGTATTTATCACCAAAGATGATAAATACCTTGACAACTTTTTAACAGTACGTTAAAAATGCATGGATATAGTTCTTGGGAGTTATTTTTCCTATTTCAGACTAAATTTATAATTTAAAAGGTTAAGGGGAAGATTTTATAACAGACAATTCTAGGAACACATGACATTATAGAGTACAGTTTTGGGGGAAAAAGATAAAAATTGTTTTAATTCTAAATAGGAAATGTTTATGAATGAATAATTATACCATCAAAAAAACTCCTGAGAAAAACATGGTACAAAATAGTCATTTTCATAGTAAACTACTCTATATTCCTGTGTGGCAGCTGCAGAGCAGTTAAGAGTATAACTCAGGTTAATCACAAGGCATGATTCTGAGTAGAAGATCATCCAGTTTCTTTATGTAATAATTTGAAGCATGCACTAGAGTATATGCCCTTTTTTATGGACATGTTCACGAGGAACTACAACTCACTCCGGATATGGTACTCAGCACAATAAAGCATGTCAGCAGCATGAACAAACTGGTATCCTGATCCTCTCATGCACAGCTCTGCTTCAGTGTAGCCTAAAACGAGTTTTCCTCTGTTAAAAAATAAAATGTAACATAAATGAAGGAACCAACATAATTTCATCAGCTATATGCTATTTTCGGCGATAGGTTTTACTAATTAGCAGAATGTAAAATTTTACATGAGCAGGTAGAAAAAATTAACCAAATTTATGTAACTGTTCTCTTTTGCTTATAGCATTTTCTTCTCCTGAATAAAGACCATGAAAGTTAAAGATAAATCCAACAGAGTAGACTGCATAGAAAACACAATCTTTAGTAAAAAATCTAGAATGCTTATATTCCATTTTTGAGGGGCAGGGTTTTTCAAACCTCTCTGTATTTCCATATTAGGAGAAAAGCAATTATATGCTTTTTAAATATGTTTTTGTATTGACTTGAGAGGAAGAGAGACAGAAACATCAATGAGAAACATCGGCCAGATGCCCCCTACCGGGGACCGAGCCTGAAACCTGGGCATGTGCCCTGGAATCAACCCCAGCAACTTCTTAGTTCATGAGTCGACGACCAACCATGGAGCCACACCGGCCGGGCATGGTAAGTTTTGATATACATGAATGCTTAATATCATACTCCTGATATTAAGTTACTAAACTTCTAGGGCTAAGAATCAAATAAAGTTTATGCAATTTAAAAATGTAAAACAATCTTATTAAGCACATTATCTTTTTTATATAGAAACTGGGGCAAGTATTGTAAAAAATTATGATTTTGTGAGTCTGATAAATTTTAAAAGAAAGATACTGAAAGAGTATAAATAATAGCTACTATAATAATATACAATATTATAATCTACGCTATGTTTTACATGCTAAGAGAGACTTACTGCATTGTACAGTATATACACCTGATAAAAATGAAGCTGAAAATGTTTTACTTACTTGGCATCACAACCAATAGGTGTAAAGTCTAGTTTGTGCTTTGTTCTAAAGATGAAGTTTTTGGTTCGAATTTCAAGTATGGATGGTGGCTGAAGTGGAGTAGCTATGGCAAACAGCGCTAGCTGAGGGGGAAGCACTGACCCATCTTTCCCTTTCTTGTTCTGGCCATGAAGATACTTTAACCTCCCTTGGAAATTCATTGCCTTAAAAAACCAAAAACAGTTCATTAAAATCAACAGTTTAAAATTGTTCCTTTTAAAAGGCTCAGTCATGGTAACATCCAGGGTTCCTGAGGCTGACAACTGCTACTTTCTTTCATTCCTTTCTCCACAGAAAGCCTGTTAAAACGATCCCAAAATGTAGGATGAGGACCATCTTGAAGGACAGAGAAGTGAACCACTCCTGGCTTTTTAATGGTCACAAGAACCACCTGTATCATTTTCTAGGCGTGAAAATGCCCCATCACTGACACCTAGTAGAGCTCCTTGCACCCATGCACTCAATACATATTTCCTCACTGAGAATGGTGACCAAGTCATCAAGTACAGATTAATTTTCAAACACATATTAGCTATATTCCACAGCTCATATTGTATTTCATAGCTCATGGTAATCTTTCATCTAAAGATAAAATACAACTTTATTAAGATTTGATTATCTGTTTCAAATTCCTGATATTTCACAAAAGTAATATACAACACACCTTCTAGTCTCTTTCTCCGGTGCTGGTGGAGTGTGCTATCTTTTCTGGGGGGCTGGGAGTACACTGGGATAGCTATGCTGCCTTCTGTTTTCTAAATAAAAAAAGAGGGCAAGTTTTGACAAAGATTTTCATGCCTCTTCCATGTATGAGAGGCAGCCTAGGAAGATGAATTTTGCAATTTGATGAACTCTAAGATGAATGGAACTAGATCGTCTAACAAAGGGTTCAATGATCCTCTGCACTGGGGATGACGGCATAATATGTGCCTTTCATAAAGGCTCTGAAAAGTCCTGCAGTAAGAAAACCCGTTTAAATATGAGAACTAATTGTCCCAAACTTATTTGGGCACTTTTTTTTTAGAGTGTGCCATCTTAAGAGTACAGATGATGGAGAAGACAGACCATCTGCATTCTTAGTATCCTGCCTCAGCCACTCGGTGGTGATCCTACCCAGGTGTTCAGACGACGCAACAGCATCTCATGCCACACGACGATTCTGCAATCATGAATAAACCACCACTTTTCTACATGGCAGTTACTCTACCCATATGGAAAAGGCCAGGATAATTTCTCTGTCTAGAAGGCATTACATCCAAGGAGGGTAAACATTCTGCTATTAAAGAAAGGATACATAATTCTTCATCATATACCTAAAAAGTCATAAAAACAGGGAAAATACAAGGTTCTATGTTATTTCCCTCAATCTTTGACGGCACCCTAAAGGATAGGGTTTTGGAGTTACAGAAAAGATTCAAAAATCAGAAATAATGCTATTTTAAAGTTACTTTTTTTTTTTCAATATATTTTTATTGGTTTCAGAGAGAGAGAAACATCAATGATGAGAGGGAGTCATTGATCGGCTGCCTCCTGCAAGCAATCTGGGCATGTGCCCTGGCCGGGAATCGAACCACGATCTCCTAGATCACAGGTCAATGCTCAACAGCTAAGCCACGCCACCCGGGCAAAGTTACTTTTCTTTATCAAATTATTTGATGAAGTAGATTTTTAAAACAGAACTCAAATATAACCAAAGAATACTGGTTTCATTTAATCTTTTAGTTCTATAAAATAATAGCGAACGCCAGGATCATAAGATTTTGTACCTTACCAGAAAACCAGATGAATTATCCAGGAGACACCTTAGTCGGCATATGAAGCACCTCTCCATAAACAAAGAGTTTTCTGGGGGAAGCTGGTCTGGGCTATAGTACACTGCTGGCTGTGGGAGGCCATTAGCTTCTGTAAAAATAACAGCAACACAAAATTTTTATTTTCCATTTTGCTGTAAAGTGTTTGCATAGTTGAAATTTGTGTTAATTTCTAAATTAGAGTCTGTACAAAAAGATAATCATTTTCAGAAGAGCTAATGAAAAGAAACTAAAACTTACTGAAAATCACTTTTATCTCATAGAACAACTTGACCTCAGTTTTGTTATTTCTATTGGCTTATCACTGCCAACAATTTCCACATTTTTAACACCAATGCCATCTTTCTTTTTTCTATTTAACACTTCCATGAACTTCTGAAAACACTGTTTGCATTGGGAAAAATTTTTTTATACTTGGATGTGCTAGTTTTCTTTTTGATTTTGTGCCTTTTAAACACAGAACAATTTACACACACTCCAGTATCGGCCTTGTACATTCCTTCCCATCTTCCACAACAGCATGAGTAATTTTATAAATTTATGAATGAGTATGCAACACTTTCCCACTTGATAGTCTTCAATGGCTGTCACAATATTCCTTAGATTTATTCATTTTTGATTAATATAAAATACTATATAAATCAAATCAAACAAGATAAAAAATAAAATCATTCATTTTTTTGGAGGAAGAAACAATATCCCTTAGTTCACCAATCTCTTTGTGACCTGCAGCTAGAGACACACGGCTTTCTACTACTTTCCTACCTTCACCAAGGAGTTCTATGACCCTATAGGTTCTCTACCTCCTTCCATAGAATTATATTAAAAACATCACAGCTATCTTTTTTTAAATTTACTTATTTTAGAGAGTGGGAGGGAAATGGAGGGAGAGAAAGAAATATCGATTTGTTGTTCCACTTATTTATGCATTCCTTGATTAGTGTATGTACCCTGACTGGAAATCAAACCTACAACCTTGGTGTATCTGGATGATGCTCTAACCAACTGAGCTACCTGGCCAGAGCCCAAAGCTATTTTTCGATAAAACATTCTTACCATCAATTCTTTGTCCAGAGTCTATACACTGTGAAGGGTTTAATGCCCAGTGTAGCTGACGCTGAAATTCAGCTCTGTCTTCAGTATGGATAAGTTCATACACACTCTGATGTATGACATCAGACTAAGGGGGAAAAATACAAAGAAATAAAACAACAGTACTGATTTAAAAAATAAATGACTTACTAAGGTAATTTCAGAACCTAGCTAGATTAGCGAGCGCTTGTTAGTGATGATGAAAGAACCAAATGGATTGCAAAGCTCTCCAGTCATCCAAGACAGGAAAAGCTAGAAATAGACTAGCACTGTAATTGATAAGCCGAAAGTTATTTGCCACATGAAGGTTTTTCAAATAAGTCACTTCGCCACTCCTTAATTGCATCATATTAAGTTCTGCTTATTTTTATGCCTTTTTGATCTTTTAAGTCCTATTTTTTCACAAAACCTCATCTGAGCACCCAGTTGTCTGACTTCTCTAAGCTAAATAGTTCATTATGTATTTTCTGCACTGTTCTCTAACAGTTTTCTGAAGACTGAATTACTCCAAGTAGACTCCGGAGGGTAAGGGATGCCTTTACGAGGCCAGGATCCTTCCTCTGCCTCCTGCCCCTCAGCACTAACTACAGTGCTGAGCCCTTAACCATTTTTCTACCTTTTTTTTTTACTGCAACTCTTGGTACTGGAAACATTTTCTATCTGTCACATGTGTACATATACATACATGGAAAAATGCTTCACAAAACACTGTGTGTGATAACATTTTGTATTCTATTTAATTCCATTCTAAGCAACTAAAAGGAAGGGTTGATGGTGATGCACTAAACAATGTTATTACCCACAAAGGAGTGACCGACCACTTGAAGTTCAATGGTACCTAAACCACCACCCATGTCACGCACAAACGTTTTCTTAAAGAGCTTCTAGGCTAATGTATACATATGAGAAAAAAATCGATTGGGAAATAGTGAATCTCTTTGATTTCTTGACTGTTAGGGATCGCATTATCAAATCATTAAGATAACTAGGTAATTAAGTTTCAAACAGACATTAGTGTATTTTTTTTTAAATTTAAAAAGTCTGAAAGCAATTCTAACTCTGGGTCAGCAAAATTAGCTTCAGGAATACCTTCAGAAACTGCGGTAGTAGCCAGATTCCACTACTTTAGCTATCTAGAGAAATCTCCCTATGAACTTGACCTTCTAACAAACTGTCTCTGTGGCAGCCATTACACACTTGCTGGAGTTACCATCTGAAACAGACTGGAGCACACACACTCCCTTTAACACAAACCTTTAGTGGCTTCCACTGTGTATAAATCATAGATTAATCTTCATTTTATATAATAGTGTAAACAGTGCTCCTCAAACCAGCAGTCTTAACATCACCTGTGAGCTTGTTAGAAATGCAAATTCACAGGCCCCACTCTGATCTACTGAGTCAGAATACCTGGGTTTGAGGCCAAAGATTTTATAAAATTTTATCGAGTTCTTCAGGTGAGTCTTATGCAGGTTAGAATTTAGGAACTATTGATACATACATATAGCTAGCATTCAAGTACACTTACCAACTGTGCTCAAATCAATCACATCTTATATTCTTTTTCCCCAAGTACACCAAACACCTTATTTACTAGTCCACTTATTCACTACTCAGTAGCAACACACCAGACACATTCACCTCCTTGAAGGACTTCCAGTCTGCTGCTTCCAGTACTTCTGTCTTGTCTCCGTGTTCCCTCCACAACTGTGAACCCACCTGAATCCTACACCTTCTTTAAGTTAGCTTAAATATCATTTCCTTCAGGAAAGCTTTCATAATCCCCACAGATCAGAATGAAAGGTCTAAGCCATGGAATTGTGCTTGTCCCTTTACATATCACCTCATTCATCTCATAGCTGTCCTATGTCCTCTACCTCCCATACTAGTTATTTGGCAAATATCCTCTTGCCTGCCCCATTCAAACCCCATCTGCCCCTTACCTGAACATTTCTTTTATATGAGAGTTCCTTAGTAAGTGAAAGAAGAAACACAATATCCATAAAGCCCATAAACATTTAAGGAAATTATAATGTAGTAAATTATTAATAGTATATATTAGCTGAAAATACAATTCTTATTCTATAGCACATATTTTAATTGATATTTTATATATACAAATTATCAATTGTGTCCCTAAAGTATAAGACAGATAAAAAGAAAATTTAAAAGTTTTTAGTGACCTAAAAAAAAGTATTTACCTGCTGAAATCCCAGGTAGTCTTGTATAGTAGAAGAAGCATAAAAGACCAGAGCATCTGTAGTGACAACCAACACAAAGCCATTCAGAGCCTGCAAGGAAAGAAGTTATAAAATTAGTAATGTGACTAACTGATAATATTGTCACTCATAAATACTGACTTCAATTAAAGCTGTTACTTTTATTGCTGAAAAAAATCACTTTAAAATGGCTAAAATGATGACAGCTCACAAACACAGACACACCGCACACCCACGGAAGGCAGCGCTACACACTGCCGCAGTTCCGGTGAAAGTGGCATCAACCCTGGGTGACTTCTAACTTTAAATGAACTGGAAATAATTAAATGAGCAGTAAATGAATTCTCCATTTGCAACTGTCATCCTAATTATAAGGAACTATATTTACTAAAATTTACCTGTAATAAGAATTCTCCTTCATTAAAGTGCAGGTCTTCCCCCAAATTTGTTCTATAGTTATCCTGGACTCCATTTCTGTCAGCTGGGGACGATTTTAATGCAACTATGGGAAAAAAGGGAAAAACAATGGCATATTAAGTAGTTTTAAAAGTAAGTGGCTTCCAAGGGCTATATGAGGGAAAACCTCTCTATACACCAAACAGAAACAATAGGAAATACTGGTGTGTACTGGCACTGTAATGACAGTGAATAATCCTTTGCCAGTGGCTGATTTCCAACACAGATGACAGATTCTTAAAAATGATTTTTGATGAGTTCACTATATGATTTTGGGCATAATTTAGAAGTTTCAAAGAATTGTATGGTGCGGCTATAAATACCCCTCCCATTCCTATTTACTTACTTATGAGAATAAAGTTTATCAGAACATAATGATTTTAATACCTCTATATACTTATCTAAACATCAATGAACTGGTGGTGAGGAGAATCATCCATACACCTTGTTACAAAATATATTTCCATTAATTTTACAATCATCTTGTCTAGTTTTAGGGTAAAAAACTATTATTATTAGGCACATGTTAAATCTATAAATCAACTCATGAAGAATTACCCTATTTATGATGTTGAATCATTCTATCCAAGAACATACATGTTTTTCCATTGGCTCAAGTCTGTACTTTTTGTCCCACTGGAGTGTGTTGAAGTTATCCACAAAAAAATTCGCACATTAATTTTTTATGGTTAATCCTAAGTAGCAGACATCTTATAGAGTGGGTTTCTCCTTCATTACTATCTTCTAACTGCTGTGGGTAATATATATGAAGGAAAGGCTGATGGCATGATGGAATCTTACTACTAGAGGTGGCATATTGTAATGCTCTCTCTCCTATTCTCTTTCCTCCCCCCCTCATCTTGTGTGTGCACCTGCACATGTGTGTGTGTGTGTATGTCTGGGAGGCAACACAGCTGAATGGAAGTAATAACTACCATTTACTTATTTAGAATTTTCCCAAGCTCAAATATTATCTTATTTAAAAACATGTGAATGGCCTGGCCAGTGTGGCTCAGCAGTTGAGCATCGACCTAGGATCCAGATCGGGGTTCGATTCCCTGTCAGGGCACATGCCCGGGTTGCGGGCTCGATCCCCAGTTGGGGGCGTGCAGAGGGCGGACGATCAGCGACTCTCTCCTCATTGATGTTTCTATCTCTCCTTCTCCCTTCCTCTCTCTGAAACCAATAAAGACATTAATTTTTTTTAAAAAGAATTATAAATAAAAAACATGTGAATGTTGGTACGTGACAGAATTAAGTTCAAACCTCAGCTCCGCCACTTAATGTGTGAGCTCCTGCAGCCTGTCTCCTACTATGGAAGCAGGAATTGAAACCAACCAACCAACCATCCTGCAGGGTTGCTGTGAAGAATAATGAGGATGTAAAGTTCCTGGCACACGGCGGCTCAAGAGTTCAATAAATGAAGCTTTAATGATTAGCCGCATTTCCCAGAGCTTATGACTGACTAGTCACAAAGTATAGCCTTTTAGGTATAGCCACAGTCTCCATTTTTCTATTTTAATCTGATGTTAAAGATAAACCATTAAACAAAACCGACTTTGACAAACTTTTAAGACTTCTTATTTCATGAGACTTTTATGTGAGAAAGATAATGAATGGGGCTTGGTGAAAAACTGGAGGCCTCAGTCTGAGCAAAGCATCGCATATGAAACCATTTCTTGTTTGAAGTATATATTCTGGTAAATCATCAAGTGCATGTGTCACACTGGACTCTTGTGCCAAGTTCTTGCCTTTGCAGAACTTGAAACATATCTCTTTCAAAGAAGCGGCCAAAAGTCTGGCCTCTGAATACAACAATTTCAAAAGGCCAGAGAACAGATTTCCTTAGGCCAAAAAATAGTTTGAGGTAAATTAATTGATCTAACAGTTAATCAAGACCAAAGGAAATGTTTAATCTTTTCTCATTGAAAACCAGAAGAGAGAAAGGCCTTTTCTATTCTGTAGGTTTCGTTGTTGCTGCTGGGCTTCTAATGGCCAAATCTACTTAAATGCATTAAAACCTCACAATGTCAGGGTTCAGTTCACTCCACTCCACTCCACTCCACTCCACTCCACTCCACTCCACTCCACTCCACTCCTTTTCCCAAATCTCCAGTATGTGGCACAATTTAAGAGTTATGCTGAGTATCAGTAAGATTTGCTATTAAAATGACAACAAAACCAAAACCCTCACATTATGAAACAAGCAAAGTAATCTTGAAAATGGATAGATACTAACAGCATCAAACTTAAACTGTCTAAATTATCTTAGTAGGAATCTTTCAAAATTAATTTTTAATCAATGGAACTGATGTCAGTTACTGGGCCACTGAGAAGATAAGTAAGAAATGAAAGAGACCATTCATCTCAGAGTCATTTACAATTTGTTTCTGGCCTTGTACTGGGGATATTAGCCAATGTAATTAGACATTACACAGACTGCCTTTAAGTAGGGACTCTAAGCTATGGAAATAAAGAACTAGAAAAGAATGTCAAAAATATTAAGTACCAGAATGAGATTTAATTAAAGTATTGCAGAAACTTGAGAGAGAAAAATAAGAACAAATTCATTCTAAACAACGCCTACGATTCTAAATGTTGGGAGGATGTTTAATAAGTGACAAGTGCATTTTGGGGAAGGATCACTGGAGGGTTCTTCCAAAAACAAATATTTCTGTTGTTCTCATGTTTAAGATTAATAATCAGTAAAGGATTTAAGTAAATATTTTGCATTCTCATTTTCTTTAAAAATACAATGTGACTTTTTGGAAAACTTATTTTTATGTCCTGGAATCTCAACCCAACCTGTGTGATTTATGACTTCCATGAAGTCTGATCTTTCTTGATATCGTCTGCCTTGATTAGAAAGCAACAGAAGAGTAAGAAAGTGACCTAGGGTACTGTTACACTGGTCACTTCTTCCTAGCATCTGAGTGGCCTTCAGTAATTTCCTTAGCAATTCACACAATATGTGATGCCTACTGAGCACACATTGTATGCCAAGCAGTTTCCACGAATTGTATCTTATTTAATCTTCCTAACAGTCCTATGAGAGTGGACATTCTTGACCTTTCAGTATATTAGGAAACTGAGACTTAGGGAGGTTAAGAAACTTTCCCAAGGTCATAGAGCTTCAAGTGGCAGAGCTGGGATTAAACACCCAGGTAGCCTGACCCTAAGTGAGTGTGCTAGTATCAATCAGCTACCAGACTTCTCCCCCTGCTAACTACCTTTGACCTTTAGTTTCCTCATCTTTAAATGACAGTGATAACTCTGGAGACAAATTCTTTTGAGGGCTAAAATAACATGTAGAGTACCTGGGTAATAACACCTGGAATCTATAACTCACAGCTATATGCTGAGTTTATACACTCTCAAACCACTATGGAAAGCAGACACTAAGTGCACTTCAGAAATAATTGAGTATTTTCTCATCTCTAAACAGGGAGCATTAATGAGCATCCAGTAGGACTGCTGTGATGCCTACACTATATCTACAATAAAGATCTGAAAATACTTCTAAACAGTAAATTATTATAAAAATTTTATGTCTGATCAGATGCATAGGACACTTCTAACATTATACCACTGGCATTAAATACATGACAGTTCATAGAAACAAAATGTAATCTCTGAAAAAAAGTGTCCAGTTGATTCTGCTACTTGGGGAGCATTTGCTATTCTGAACAGATACTTGTTAAAATCTCATCTGTGGGAATAGCACACCTTCCAAAGTGTACAGATATGATACTGAACATTCAGAGGAATGTTAAGATCATAAACTGTCAAAAATTTTCAACTGTCTCTTCATTGAGAGGTTGTTGAAGCAATGACACAAGTAAACATTTAATTGATGATGGATTTTAAGTGTAAATATATTATGGCATTATCAAATTGTCACATTACAAACTGATCCAAGTCTTACTCCCATGTGCATTTAACCATATCCATATTTCCTAATATGGCACTTTTCTTCCTTATACATCTGAGCTCAGATTTCCATTTCTCCCTACAAGCCAAATATTTCCTCCTCAATAAATATGCTCTGAATTGTTAGAGAAATTCACAAGGAAGAAATATTGGCATGTGGTGAACTGCATCTTGTATTTTGTTACTACAGTTTGCATTTAAACAGAATGATGACACGATAAATGTCTTGCCAGGGAAAAGCAAAAGCCTTTTCAATATCTAATTGTTGATATAAATTCAATTTATTTTATAATAATATTTATCATCTCCTTTATTACTTCTGGAAGGAAAAGTTAAATTCCATTCCCACACTGATACAAGCATGAAAGAGAGCAAAGCTATCACATATTATAAAATTCAACCAACCACATAAACTTTTATAAATTAGATAGGGTTAAGTAATGGATGCAGTATTTCTTAACTATAAAGAAAACATGTTTAGATGAGCAAGCACACTGTATCCATAGTTTCTACCCTCATCAGAACAAACTATGTCACCTCTCCCTGAACAAACTGTCTAGAGTTGAGTGTGTGCCACTTGTGAAAAAAAATAGGGGGAAATAAATTATTACAGATTATATCAAAAGGCTAAAAAGAGTTTATTAGCAAATTTATCTAAATCAAAATACAACATTAATTCAACAAAGGGATTCTCAGATGATAGCAATACCAGGTCTATAAAGGCCTCTATGCATCTTCAAGAAATCATTATCATTTATATAACAATTTTAATTCCTTCACAAATCTCCTAGTTTCAGGACAAATCCACTACCAGCTTAAAGCATCAGGCAGGCAAGCATTCTACTGTCCACGCTGAGAAGATGAAGACAAGACGGAACAGGGAGGTTAAAGGTCTTACCTAAGGCCACGAGATTCGTTAACTGACCTCCCCTCCGTGTCTCCTGCCTGCCAGTGCTTTGGGTACAGGACACGCTGAGATCAAGAGAGGGAATGCAGTCTCTACAACGCACAGAATAGAAGCCTGAAGCTAGACACTGTCAAGAATCCAGCTGACACTGAAATAGTCTCTAAAGCTGACCACAAAGGGCACCCCCACATCATGTGGGCAAACTTAAG